TTTTTGCCTAGTTGGTCAACTTTGCCGCGCAGCGTCGGGTCGCGTAGCTCCGCTGCAGCGTAGTGCGGTATGCTCCATAAGAATACATGCAAAGAATATTTTGCCGCGCTGTGTAGTGTCGTGTCGCGTCGCCTAGTGCGGTCGTACCTTAAGTCGTGTAAATGCTAGAAATGAATGTCGCATGCAGGGTTCTAATATGTATCACAGCGCACAGCAGTGCGCGCGAGTGACGAAAGCATCCACAGTAGCATGCTGAAATGACTCGCTTATATATACACGAGATTTGGAAGTTTTTATCCAGANTCAAACAAGATGGATGCCAGTGACGCTGATGCAATGTTAATGCCTTTTATTTTTATTTTCCTTGGCGAATTCTTCTCAAATATTATGTTTTTTTTACATACAATTTTCTTCTTGAATGAAATGCATGTGAATATTCACTCACAATTGGAAATCCAATTACTTCAAGTTAAAAATATAGTACGAAATGTTATGTCGTTCCGCTAGGTATACCGCACTATGTGCTCATTTACACACGGCGATTTTTGTTGCCTCAACTCGACGTTTGTAGGAGAGAGCGTGACGAGGACAGGAGAGGGGCACCGAGTTGCTCGTGCTCGGGCAACACGCTTTGTGCTCTCGTTCGCCTGTGTAAATTGAACCGCTGTTCACAGCTGACAACAACAATTGCATACACACAAATCGCCGTGTGTAAATGAAAAGAGCAACACCAAAAGGGAATGTGAAAAATCGCGTCGACAAAAGTTTCCGTGTATAAACACAGTCTACGCGGCACCGGAACTGCGCGACACCACGCGGCGCGACATTTTTGCCTAGTTGGTCAACTTTGCCGCGCAGCGTCGGGTCGCGTAGCTCCGCTGCAGCGTAGTGCGGTATGCTCCATAAGAATACATGCAAAGAATATTTTGCCGCGCTGTGTAGTGTCGTGTCGCGTCGCCTAGTGCGGTCGTACCTTAAGTCGTGTAAATGCTAGAAATGAATGTCGCATGCAGGGTTCTAATATGTATCACAGCGCACAGCAGTGCGCGCGAGTGACGAAAGCATCCACAGTAGCATGCTGAAATGACTCGCTTATATATACACGAGATTTGGAAGTTTTTATCCAGACGTCCAATCGACATGTTTGAGATATCGTTGGGAAGGTCTTGCAGAGTGTGTCCAGAAAATGTATTCAAGCTTTATAAAAGATTAACAGGATTCTTAAAAATTAGGCTAAAGTGTTGCGAAACAAAAAACGTTTTTTGGCTTTTGCCGGTTTAAGGGGCATGTGGGTACACCCAACATATTTAGTGTTATTCTATAGGCCAATATCTTTCAAACGATACCTTATATATTACGCTGCAGATATAGAGGTACATGTGTTTTGGTTCGTGTCTCCACTACGAGATACTTTGGTATGTATGTGGCGTCTGTACGTACCTTCATTTAATTTCTTTCAAACTTTCAGGAATTAAAGAAAAAAAAAACTAAGAAGGTTTTTTTCCAGGATGTTATGATTCTTATGCCTTTGTGGGCGTGGCTGCTGCCTGAAATTCGAAAAAAGGCAATTTTTTAAACTACCACTGAGGCCACACTACTCAGTCCATGTCATTGATGCGGATATCAGTAGAAGGGTCTTCAAACAAGCTATCTAACGCTATTTTTTGTGTTTACAAAATATAAATATGTCATAACGTTATCGCCTGAAAACTAAAAATCGGGCTGCTGAAAATATACAGTTCGGGAATTTTAACAAAAACTGGTCAGTCGATTTTATTCTAGATTCGGAACGTTGCGAAATTCCGTTTACTGCTAGAAACACAAAATAAAAAACGTAACTTTTGCAACGATTCGTATGAATAAAAAAGATTTTCCGTACATTTCCAAGGCAGTTAAAAAATGCGTATAATTTTCGTCACGAAATTGATATCATAAATTTTGTGTTTCTAGTTCAGCTTTCGTCACTCGAAAATTTTACCTCAAAGAAGTGTTTTATTTGTATGTATACACTTTCGAATTTTACCACTATTTGGGTTACATTTTGCTTATTAAGGGGATGCAAAAATATTTCTATAATAAATTTGGCCTTTCTTTTGACATATCATATGACTCCTTAGTGAAAATAAAATCTGCGTAAATATAACGAAAAGTCGCGTACATCTTACGAAATTTTACGTCATTTTGAGCCAAGAAAGTTTTCGTTAATTGTACAAAACCGTTTTCGTACATAGATACTACAGAAATATGAGACATTAGGCCTTTAGTGTGTACAAAACTTATTCGTATTTTTAACGAAAATATTTTCGTAAAACCTACAGTTGTTGATTTCATTCGCCACACTGTAAAAAACATAGTACGAGTTATAACACAACACTTTTATTCTTTTTTTATCGTAAATTTGATGCTTTTTTGTTTAACAAAATGTTTTGCAAAAAACGCTTAACATTACCATCAAAATATAATGAAATTGAGCTATGGTTTTTATAGTCTGTGAGTATGCGCATACTTTTCATCTGTAAATAAAAAATTTAATAGTTTCGAACTTGTTTAAAATATCCAAAAAAATGGGACAACTAAATTTCAATTGAAACATACGGGTATAGGCAGATAAATGCGCTATTCATTCGCCCATAGTTCTATGGTGAATTTGTGTTACCACTGATTTTGATTGATTTACTTTTACAGTTTAAAATTAATTAAATATTCACTATTTTTATTTAGTATTCCGATTGGAGGCCGCGGTGGTGTACTGGTTAGCAGTGCGCGCTATCATTCCGCGTGGCCTGGGTTCGAGTCCACTTTTCGACCAACATAGAAAAAGAAACACTATTATTCAAAAGAAAATTGCAAAAAGCAATGCGGTTATCAAGGACCTCATTTCTAGTTGCGAATAAGAATACGAAATCAGGCTCAATCTAGAAAAAGAATTTATTTTATAGAAAGAAAATAAATAAGAATGAGGTTTAGTCTTACCAAACGAAAACCATCAGGCAATTTGTATTGCGCTTATACATCAAATATTTGTTTGGATTATTTATTCGCGGTGTCTCGAATGCTGTTCATACATGTTGCAGCGCACGCGCACCAGTGTTTGATTTTTTTCTGATAAGCCATTGCATGGAGATCATGTGTCAACGCTATATAAAATAACAACAATAAAAAAAACAAAAGAAAAACAAAAAAAATACTTTAAATTCACTCACTCACCTTTGCCAGCTAGCAATCACAAGTAGCAATGTTTACGGTTCATCGATAGCTCCACGAATGATTATACAAATCAAATCACAAATTAATATCTAATTTTTTATTGTATTCCAATAACTCCATTATAAAACGTATAAATTTATTTTATACGTCTCACAGCAGCCAACTGGTAATTTCGCAATCACACGCGGTATGATGAAATTTTAAACTGCCGGCAATTTAGTATATTGCCCGAATATGTTTGTATATTGTACGAATTTAAAAAACATGTTTCTGCATTAGTACTATGTACGAAAGTATTTAATAAATAAAATGAATACAGAATTGTAGGTTTCGTATATTTTAAAACCACACGTAAATATTGCGAATGCCTTCGTACAATATACAAAATTATTGGTACAGAGATTTGTTCGGTAATTCACGCATGTGTTTTGTAAAATAAACGAAAGTTTTCATAAATTGTACTGTAAAAATGCCCTGTGAAACTCCTTTCGTTATATTTACGAATGGTTGTAATATCTTGTTGTTGTGAAAAACGTGTTCGTATTATGAACGAAAGTTTCGTACGTTGTACAAAAACCAAGACTATGAAAGTTTTTCGTAGCATTTTAACGAAATTTTATTTTCAGTGTATTGTTTATAAATTTATATATTTTATATATTTATATATTTAATTTGGCCGCTGTTGTGTAGTGGTAAGCAGTGCGCGCTTCCACTCCGCAACTCCTGGGTTTAAACCCTGGTCAAAGCAACATCGCAAACAAAATAGAAAAAAGTTTTTTTTCTTAACAGCGGTCGTCCCTCGGCAGACAATGGCAAACCTCCGAGTACATTTCTGCCATGAAAAACAGCTTCTGATAAAAATACAATTGCCGTACGGAGTCGGCGTAAAACTGTAGGTCCCTCCGCTTTGTGTGACAACATCAAGGCGCACGCCACAAATCGGAGGAGAAGCTCGGCCAAACACTGACATATGTGTAAGCGCCAATCTATTATTATTTTATTATTATATTTAATTATCGCTAAATTCTTAAAACTCAAAAGCAGATAATAATAAAATATGTATATCAAATTGATGGTAATAACTTTTACTTTCAGAAAATATAAATTTCTTTAGCATTAATTATGCAATTTTTCAAAAAAGTTATTTTATGAGAAAATACGAAATTTTTTTCGTTTTTTATTTGAATTTATGTAAATATTATCATTTTCGTTGTTGGTGCTTCCGACAGGGTAGGGAATTGAAATAACTTTCTTTCTATATAAACTTTTCTATGTGTTTATTTAATTTACAACATTTTTCGTCTTGACAACACTGCTCTAACGTCAAGAAAAAAAATCGTCCACTTTTATTGGTGCTCAAGAGCTCGAAACAAATTTTTCAATATGTAATGTTTTTGTCGGTACTATTTTCTGCGTTAACTGATCCAACGATTGGCCCCATTGTATCGATTATGTTCGGCGCAGAGGTCGAAAGATCGGGCATTTTTGAAACTTGAGCTAAATGCGAATTTTTTTTTCTGAAGTGCGAATTTCTTCGCATTGCGGCAATCGTGGGACCTTAGCTATGTTACGACTTATTTAAAGCCATCTAAACGTGACCAAAAACTATTTTACAAAAGTTTAGAACGGTATTCTTTTTAACAAAAAAAAAAATCTTGGTCGGTGTTTATTTTAAATATCAAAAATTTCTTAGTCGTATTCAAAAACTAAAATAAATTTGTTGTAAATGCACAAGTACATATTTTTAATAGCTTTATTATACTACGAGTTTATATCATTCGACTAATTTACAGAATCACTCGCGGACTTGGCCTCTGACCATATAAACCGAATGAAAGTAGCTGCCAGGTGCAGTCGTCCGGTACCACGTGTATTCCACGTTTCTAACACCACATCGGAGACTTTTGTGCCTTCCTGCACCATATTGCATCGTTGTGGCGAAGATACGGGCTGCTGTCGCTCTATGGGACAAGTGTGCACTGTCAAATTGTACGAGGAAGTGCCTCTTCATTTTATTGTAAGTGAAACCAACACACCTCTATTAGAAATACAGTTTTGATGCTTTTACTATATCTGGTAGTAAATTTTCTTGCGCATTGCAGTTTTTTTACACAAATACCTATATATATATGTAAATATGTATTTGCAACGTACATACCAGCGATCGGCAAACAGCACCATTTTTGAGACGTTGAGTAGGGTGTGAGTACCTTGCAGGAAAACCAGAACTAGTGAATCTAATGTGGTCATATATGAAGTCGCCGCCTTGTTCTCTACTGAGTAGTAGAGAATGACGTATATTCTCTACCAGTAGAGAAATAATCGGTAAAGAGCTCATTTCTGTAACGAGCTACTGGTTTGGAAGTGCAGAAAAAGGAAAAGAAATCGAAATCCCTAATTTTTATTAACATTTTTGAACAAACCTTTAACCTTACAAACAATGATTTACCCTGGAAGGAAGGACTGGTTATTTCGCCAATTTTTCTTCCAGCTTGTGTGGAAACATCAAAGAAATAATAAAAAAATAATATATATATTGTAAAATTGATTATATCTAATTTTTCATTACAATGATTTTAAATCCCAGGAGGGCAATGGGGTATAGTCGTTGTGCTGTGTATGCAGTCACAGTTGCACTGCTATACCCAAGTGGTTACCGCATGGTAACCAATCCAAGTGCAGCCTTGTGTCGCGGCAGAAAGAGAGGGAACTTCACCTTGCACCCATGAATGCAAGGAAAGCTTAACGTCGAAAAGCTGCAGTCACAGCAGACTGCCAACGCATATGCTACTCGACTCTCACTGCAGAGAAAAAAGAAGCCGACTACAGGACCAAGCTGCAATCGGGCGCAACGCGAGTTATGTGGGACCGCTGTAGGGAACTGAAGAGGGAAGCGATGCGTATTTTCCGCAAAAAGAAGAGCAAACAATAAAACAAAGTCTAACAAAGTTTTATTTTGTTATTCTTTCGCTTACCATTATTTCCTTTGACTACAACCAATAGGAGCGAACTCTACCGTCAACTTGTTTTGTAAAATAAAACTCAGGTAGAAGAGCAAAGCAGCTGATTGTCGGTGGTGTGCTAATGCATTGGGTAAAAGTCTTCATTAGGGGTGTTCGCGCCAAAACGATACCGACCAATAGTAAGGGGGATAGGAGGAAGTGCTGAGGCGAAAAACCACAATAGCGGCGTCGCTTTTTATTGTTTTTTTAGCGCGGCACTTTTGTTGTCCGCCGAATGATGGCAATGGCAAAGTTCATGGTGCTTGTTTGTGTGCGCGGTGATGGCGACCACCAAAGCGCCCAATTCGTTTTAAGAATTAACGGGCCGGCGCCAATTGATCGGGCACCAACAACACCAGCACTGAGGGTCAACGATTTTACGGACCGGCGCGCAGCTCCAAGTTGCATCGCAACCTACGCGGGGGCAGAACTGCTAAGTGAGAATTGAAGAGGGAAACGTCCCTATTTTGTGCGAATTAGTGCTATCATAATATGATGAGTTACCGAAATAGTGCGATTTAGCTACCGTGGGTTTTTTTCTTTAATATACATAAGTGCCAGAAGAGGCACTTAGTCTGCAGTTGGGCAGGTGTATTAAATAGCGGCGCCAGGCGAGGTGACGAGAGATATAGTGTCGGTACCGGATTTGGCGAACGTAGTATCGCAGGAGCACTCAGTGGTCGACGCATACCCCGACCACATCATAAGTGTCATCTGTGTTCTTGCCTATATTTGGCTAGTAGGGTTGTCGGTAGTTTTTCCCTATTGTGTTCCCTATCCCTTCCTTTTAGCATCCCGCACCCAGAGCCCAGTCACTGGATGGGTTAAAATATACCCGGCAGCTCGGGCGGTAGTGCAAGTGGGTTCGTAGCCTTTTGATTGGACCTCACCACAGGTGCACCTCCAAACAAGGTTTTGTTTTTGGAATTGGTAGTTGCATAACACCGTTTGTGCTGTTTTGGCTCACCCTAAGTCATATTTGTACGTTAGTTGGCTACTTTTTAATAGTTTGTGCCGTTCCCCCATATAATCGTGGTTTTCCCATCTAATAATTTCTGTCGTTCTTTTGGTTGGCGCCTGTGTATTGTTGTTGAGCACTGCAAGTGCATTTATTTCGTACGTTAGGTAGGTCGGTTTTTGTGAGCAAAAATTAAGGAGACAAATTGGCGCCCAACGTGAGGCCCCCGTCGTTAGAGGAAATTTAACTTTTATAAAAACGAGCTACGTGATATCTTTCTGGCAGGTTTGCAGGACAAGGAGGTATACCTATTCAGGTGAGATTTTTGTGAAGAAATTAAAAAAACTGTATTGGAAAGCGCGGTGCTACGCGTATATACATACATACGTAAATATATAATGTGAAGTTTGTAGTATTGTTGTTATCTCCCTACATATTTTTGTTGGCGTTGAAATATTGTGTATATTAGGATGGTCCACGATTTTTGTTTGTGGTATACATTTTATTTTTGGTATTTTGGATTTAAATATTTTTTTTTTAAGTTTTTGGCAGTAGGTATTCAAGGAGAATTTTGTGTTGATGATTCATTGCGGCGTAGTAATGGACAGTCGGAGTATAACGACTTTGATTTTTTTCCCCCTTAGAACAAAACGGTAGTATTTCGAGGAGTCTGTCCAGATTTGGCGAAATTTTGTGAAGGTATTACTCGCGCTTTTGGTGTATTTTATTTACAGGTTGGCGGGCGTACGCCTTTTAATTGTAATTCTTGCCATCAGCAAGCTATAAAAAGCGTTTTTTTTGGGACTGTGTGTGTATATAAAGTGAGGACGGACATTCGGCTAGCGGAAAGAGATAAGTAGTAGAGCATAAGTGTTAGGCCGCGAAAAATTAAAAACAACGGAGAAATAAAGCACTTCAGAGTAAGCTCTCCAGTGGTTCCGAGCATTTTTCCTTCAGTTTTAAGCTTATAAAACCGAGAAAATATACTAAAAGCTTTTAACTAACTTAAGTTGGCCGCTTCAATTTTATTTGGTGAAGTACACATACACATAACGTAAATTGTAACTTAGTTTATAAGAATATATTGTATTTGCTTGTGCCGTCTTATTTGGTGGTACGTGTCATTTTTTTTTTGGCATTTGGGCTCTATTGTTGCATCGCGTGTTAGGGTCATTTTGTTGTGCCAGTATAGGGAAACTTACTACCCAGCAATGAGTTAAGGTATAGGCAATAGAGTACCAACCGGGCGCGAAATGGTCTCAAGTAAGTTGTAACTAGCCCTCAGACTTATACTTAAGTATACAGTTCTTATTTTGCGGGTTTTTAGATTTTTTGCTGTTTTATACATTTGTTCGTTTCTTTTTCGAATTTTATTCCGGGTTTTTAATAGGCTGTTTGTTATTGATTTAGTTTCTTCGGAAATTTTAAAGAGTTTTTGCTTTTTCGCTGGTTTATTTGTTCTCATTCGTTTGATCTACTATGGAAATAAATCTATTGTCTCAAGAGGAGTTAGCGTATGAAATGGAGACTCGGAGTCTCTCGGTTTCGTCGGTGGACGCTATGCGGAAGTCGTTTCGGGCATCTAGGTTGTTGGAGTGAAGGGGTTCGGTGGACCCCTTCCAAGATTACCCGTCTAGCTTTGAGGAGGATCGGGAAGCGGTCGAACCCAAACTGAAGGAGATCGAGGCGTTGATGGGCGATTCAGTTAAGGGCACGAAGCCATCTACTGGGGCCAAGGCTAAGCTGGAGTGGTGTTCAGCAAGGAAAGGCCATGCGAGGTTGAACAACGACGACGAGATTAAGAGCAAATTGATGATTTACTTAACCGACCTGCAGGAGGCAGGTGGCGAGAAAGACGAGGCGGAGCGTACGGAGGATCGGCCGCAGGAAAACGCGGTGCGAACGGCAGCCGCTATCGGCGAGGTGGACGAGGAACGTACCAGTAAGTCAGTCGGGATTCTGAAGCTGGAAAACCTTGCGAAGCGGGACGTGCACGTTCTTGGAGAGGGTAGATGAGTTAGGCGAGGCCCGCGTTGTGGACCAAGCAGAAGTTTTTCGAGGTGCGGTATATTTGTTCTGAGGAAAGGCGCTATTATGGTTTAGGTCGGTTGGCAGACGATGGGTAGTTAGGAGGAACTGGTCAAGGAGTTCAAGGTGGAGTTCCTGCCCTCCAACTACGATGACTTGCTAATGGATGCGATTTGCCGCCAGACACAGGGAGCGAATGAGTACATCGGTGTGTATGTTGCGGCATTGAAAATTATGTTCGGTAGGTTGCGGCCGCTGTGGTATAGTGGTAAGCAGTGCGCGATTCCAATCCGCAGTGCCTGGGTTCAAGCCGTGGTTAAAGCAACATCGCTAAAAACCTTAAAAAACAGGGTTTTCTTAACAGCGCTCGCCCCTCGGCAGGCAATGGCAAACCTCCGAGTTTATTTCTGCAATGAAAAACAGCTTCCCATAAAATTACAATCGCCGTTTGGAGTCGGCGTAAAATGTAATTTGCTCGCCCTTGTGTGACAACATAAAGGCGCACGCCACAAGTCGGAGCAGATCCTGTGTCGAACAGGGCGAGTTAGCAATCCTGCTAAACTTCCAGTTGGCTAAAGTAGGCTTCGGTGAGTCTAGTGTTCCGTTATCGTATTCTTTGGTGGCGGACGGCTTGGATAAGCATCCGCATTTGGACATTCAGATTTTCGGTTTTAATTTTAAGGCGTTGTTGGGTTCTAGTGCGCCGGGAACAGTGATTGGTTAGGTTGGGCTGTTTCCTTCTTGTGGCATTAGGGCGTCTCCTTTACTCAACTCTCTATAAGTGACTTTGGCGGATGGAGGCCATATCTCGGTGTTAGGTTAGGTGTAGTTGCCGATCGAGGTGGAAGGCAAGTTGGTGCTCCTGCAGTGCCTCGTAGTTCCAGGTTTGCCTCAGAGTCTTATCCTTGGTGTCGGTTTTTTGACCAAGGCGGGTATCATCCCGGATTTAAGAAGATGAGGTGGAGCTTTTCTCAACCGGAACAGGAGTCGTTGGCGGCGATAGTGAATCACTCCTAGCTAGGCAGTAGA